AACAGCTCTTGTAACGTCTGCAATTTCTCTCACTTGATTCGTCAAATTAAGGGCCATAATATTAACATTATCAGTTAATGATCTCCAAATTCCTACACTGCCTTCATTCTTCGCCTGTCCACCTAATTCACCGTTAGCAACTTCAGTCGCAACTTTTGTCACTTCGTTTGCAAACGCTTGCAATTGATCCATCATGGTATTGATAGTGATTTTCACCTTCAAGATTTCCGGGTCAGATTCGACAGTATGGATTTCGACCTTTTTCGATAAGTCACCCATTGCAACTGAAATCACAACAGTACCTATTTCAGACAAAGCTTGTTTGAACGCCTTATTAGCGGATTTGGAGGTATCCAATTCATTAGTCAAAGTCTTAATCGTGACATTTTGAGACTTGATGTGCTTCAAAATATCATTTCGTATCTTTTCATGGTTTTCTTGAAAAAGCACCGGGTCCTCTAGGATTTTCATTAATTCGGGTGTACCCATGTCAACGCTTGAATCAATTCGTGGCTTTTTGGATATAGGCAGAATCTTGGGCAAATGGAACTAATGTTACAACGAAGCTAATAAAAAAATCTGGTCAATCTTAATCACCCACACCTTACGAAATTTTCTTCCGTGTGCGTATCGACTCTTGTTAACCTTACAACAATAACCTTTTTGTTGTAAATAAAACGTTTCAGTTCAGTCCGCAGCAGATGAAAGAAAGTGATGTACGATTTATGCTTAGTGTTCAATACCTAAACACTTGTGGTCTACTGTTTTTCCTGTCTGTCGACTAAATTAAATTATTAATTTAATTAACAATTAAATTTCTGTAAACGACAAATAATTTCTATGAAAGCCTCTTTCAATATATCCAGGATATACGTATCTACCAACTTGATATACAACTAGTTGTATTAACAGTATCAGTGTTTTTAATTATAAATAATGATATTCTATTTTAGTATTTTTAGTGTTTTGGTTTCATATAGATTAACCAACATGTGTAGTGTCCAGCACAAACCATCTAATTATGTAATTGATAATGAGTTCCAGGGGCAATTCGCCTTTCATTACATTGAGACAACTAAAGGGGGGATGAGGTATGCGACACGGAAATCGATGGAACGGCGCGACATTGATACAACAATTTACTTAACGAGCTGGAACAAAGTAAAAAAAAATAGAACTCCTCATCAGGGGCTCGAACCCTGGACATTTCGGTCGACTCTTTGACAGAAATCTTTAATCCTTAAAAGCCGAACGCTCTACCAACTGAGCTAATAAGGATAGTTCCTGAACACTATAGTTGAAGAAAAGAGTAGATATACGTCCCTTCCCAAATTTACGGAACGGAAATCAAGAGCTAATTATAAGTGCTTTAAGTTAAGTTGTTACTTACGGATAATGAGAGGATTCGTAATATTAGTAGAAGTTCTGTAAGGTACACAGACCATATTAGTTACAGTTTCCTTACAATTGTTTGCTCCACCAGATGTAGTACAAGAAATAGTTACAATATAACAATCTTCCTCCTAATGCCGTGCTCAGATTGACAAGTATTTGATACTTTCATAGGAGCCAACGATTCAAATTAGGGAGATCATTTTATTCTTTACAATATTCTGAAGGTATGAAGACATAGCATTACTAGGGTGTTATGAATTCCGAGTCGCGTCAACGAGCATATTGACTTGATATGATTTAGGCACCGAAAAGAGGATATTTAATACATCATTGCAACAGATAGAGAATACCTGACCAAATTACATAGTCATTATTTTATTACCGATATATGTACATCTAAATTAAATTCAATTGTCTTAAAGCCTGACAGTTAGGCATTGGCATGGCCTCTGCTCGTCTCAATTTTTCATAGTCAGTTGAGAACCATCCTTGTGCATCCTCCATCATCTCATTTTTCCTGATCTGTTCCTTGGAGCACTTGCCTCTCTTATCTTGTACAAATAAATTTTCCACCTTGTAATCAAAGTTCTTCAATTGTCTACCACTCAATTTTTTCTTGTTTATAAAGTCTTTCGTCACATAGAACGGAATTTTGAACGTTGGAGTAACCCTTTCAGTATTATATATTGGAGTAAGATTGAACGAATAATCGGGAGATGATGATTCCGAAAACAAAGTTGAAAGCAATGGAACCAAAATGAATAGTATGATTGGCATGAGTTGTTTGATAGTAGTGACAAATGACGGCTCTTCAGTTTGCTGTCTCTGTTGTCGACGCTGACGTTGCTGTTGGGCTTGTTGTTGTCTTGCTCTAGTATTACTGGCGAAAAAAGGATGCTCGCCACCTCCACCACCAAAGGACTGAAATGTAAACCCGTTGTTTCCAAATGTAAATGCTGGTCCACCACTGGCATGTCTGTTACCCCCGAAGAACAAATTAAAAATATCATCTTCAAATCCCCCATGAAAACCACTCGTTGTTGCGAAAGGACTACCTCTCATGCCTCCCATACCGCCGGCTTCAGGCTGCCCCGTGAACCTCGTATCTGGATCTGATCCTGTTTGATCAAATATTCTTTTCTTGGACGGATCACTCAACACACCCCATGCTTTGTTTAAGTATTTGAATGCTTCCGACGACCTTGGATGTGGATTCTTATCTGGATGTAATTTCACAGCTAGCTTACGATATGACTTCTTGATCTCTGAATCACTAGCAGTTTTCTCAACTGACAAGATTTCGTAGTATTGATGAGGTTTATACGATAAAACTTTCAATACTATCTTCTCTTGATCGTTATTGTAGTTAGACATGGTATCTTACCAAGGCGGCGACTCGAATTTTTTTGATATGAAAACTGTCCTTTCAACTAATAATTCCGCAATAAAATTACGTCAAACTCTTCTGATACTGGAACTTAGGCCAAAATCGTCGATGAATAGTCCGTTTAACCTTTGGCTATAAAGTCAACAGTGATTTATTCCGTGCCATCTTTTTTATAAAATCCCCAATCATTGGTTAAAGTACACGACATACAAAGAATGCGGTGGAAAATTGATTTGGCAAAAAAAAAATTTGGGGCGAGCTGGGAATTGAACCCAGGGCCTCTCGCATGCTTGTAGTAATCGATCTAGTTTCCTAAATCGTCGCCCAAAGCGAGAATCATACCACTAGACCACACGCCCTAATTATAGAAGTTGTAAGAGAACATGCCCATATATATATGTGTTATACGTACAGTACGCGTTGCAAAGTATACGTCTTGCAATTACAGCCACGATTGCAAAACTATAAATATGTGGAAGAATCCCGGTAAATCTCAGAATAGAGGTTAAGGGAATTAGGACCTAAATAGAGAGTAATTAGTTAGTTGTCAATCTATAAGTCAAGTTAAAGTTAGATTAGTAGAATCTACATAGTATATCAAGTGTTAGTAGTAAGAATTACCTAATTTAGACCCAGTTCCCTTACAGAAGTTGTTCAGAAGGTAGATCTACATATATATTCATATACAATACGTCTGCTGCAAAGTTGATATGTGTGAGACTGCGAAAGCGAGTATCCAGAAAGAGAACAAGGAAAACTAGACTGAATATAGCTGATAAATGAGATATGACTTAGGTTAGTTAGTTAATTGAGGTTAGAGAAACAGGTACGTTACAAAAAAAAAGATTTGAGGATCGACAACATGAATTGAATTTGAAGCAAAATACTACGCTAACATGCGATAAGAATCTGTTTGATAGAAATTAAACATGATAAGCACAATTAATCAAAATGGTGATCGGGATTTAAAATAGAATGAATTAGAGTATTTTGCACCTGAAGATCATTGATACTTAGTTCTAATCAACCGTGGTCCAAGTTGAGGACAATTATCATATGGGTACATTCCGGCACACAGTCAAAATAGCGTTTGATAAATCGAGCACTCCCCCGCAGACTAACTAGTATATTTAGTGGTATACATTTCGAATAATTTATCAGTACGAAATTGATTTAAACATAAACCATTAGAATGACTTCATTAGATAAATCGTTCGTAGAAAACAGTGCCTGGAAAGCTGATCTTTTCAAAGGCAAAGTGATATTCGTCACCGGAGGAGCTGGTACAATTTGTCGTGTTCAAACCGAAGCTATGGTCTTATTAGGTGCTAATGCTGCTATTATAGGTAGAAATCCAGACAAGACAACCAAGGCTGCTAAGGAGATCGAGCAATTGAGACCGGGGTCCAAGGTTTTAGGCATCGGTAACGTTGATGTTAGAGATGTCAACAGTATCGTAGGTGCAGTCGAGAAGACTGTCAATGAATTGGGTAGAATTGATTTTGTCATCGCTGGAGCAGCAGGGAATTTCATTGCAGATTTCAACCATTTGTCATCCAATGCGTTCAAGTCAGTTATATCTATCGACTTGTTGGGATCGTTTAATACTGTCAAGGCCTGTTTTGATCAATTGAGAAAAAACAAGGGGTCCATCATCTTCGTCAGTGCAACTTTACATTACTACGGTGTGCCTTTCCAATCGCATGTCGGAGCTGCTAAGGCGGGGGTTGATGCTTTGTCCAATGCGTTGGCTGTCGAACTAGGCCCACTTGGTATTCGTTCCAACTGTATTGCACCAGGTCTTATCGATGGTACCGAAGGTTTCGCTAGATTAGCTCCTCCAGGTGATGCACCTTTAGAAAACAAGATTCCATTACAAAGATTAGGAACTGCTAGAGATATCGCAGAATCAACGGTATACTTGTTTTCTCCTGCGGCAAGTTATGTAACAGGAACTATTCAAGTCGTAGATGGTGCGGCATGGCATATTGGTCTGTACATGGGTGATTTATACCCAAGTGTTGTCAAGCAACAAAATGGTGATCCAAACTCAAAGTTGTGAAGTATATATTGTATTTCCCTTATATAAATGTATGGCTATAATAGAATATTATGACGTAAATTTGATGCGGCGCACGCACGCCAGAGAACAATTTCATTAATCAGTGTAGTGTTATTATCTTGTAGTAACTATACAGCCGATAGAATAAATAACATAATGTTCCCAGGATCTGGAAGAAAAACATACAGACAACAAGCTCCACCACCGGGACCACCCAATGGATACCAATATGGACCACCACCTGGAGCACAAGGCCAATATCCACCACAAGGCCAATATCCACCACAAGGTCAATATCCACCACAAGGTCAATATCCACCACAAGGTCAATACCCACCGCAAGGTCAATATCCACCACCACAAGGATATGCACCTCAAGGGTATCCGCCTCAAGGATACCCACCTCAAACATATCAACAGCAAGGAGGCCAGAGACAAGCATATCCACCACAAGGATATCAGCAACCAGCACAACATTTTGGCGAGGGTAGAGGAAATCCAAATCCAACGGGTCCACCACCTTCAAATCCTCAAGGTTTCGGTCAACATTCAGGTATGACTTTCCAGTACTCTAACTGTAATGGTAAAAAGAAAGCGTTATTAGTTGGTATCAATTATACTGGCAGCAAGAACCAATTGCGTGGGTGTATCAACGATGTCAAGAATATGAGTAATTTCTTGAACCAACATTTTGGGTATTCGTACGATGACATGGTGATTTTAACAGATGACCAGAATCAAAGAGCTCGTATTCCAACCAAAGAGAATATTATCAGAGCGATGCAATGGTTAGTTAAAGACGCGAGACCAAATGATTCATTAGTTTTCCATTATTCAGGTCACGGTGGGGTCACCAAGGATTTAGTTGGGGACGAAGAGAGTGGCCTTGACGATGTTATTTATCCTCTTGATTTCGAAGTTAATGGACATATCATTGATGATATTATGCATGATATCATGGTGAAACCATTACCACAAGGATGCAGATTGACTGCCTTGTATGATTCGTGTCACTCTGGTACAGCATTAGATCTTCCTTACGTCTATTCTACTAAGGGGGTTGTCAAGGAACCTAATTTATTGAAAGACGCTGGTACTGGTGCATTCAATGCATTTCTTTCTTACGAGAGTGGTAATATCGGTGGTGCCATCTCGTCACTCTCCGGAATTGTTAAGAAGATATCAAGTCTGGCTAGTACCGATAGAGACCAAGTTATTAGAATGAAGGCTTCGCCAGCAGATGTCATTTCGATTTCCGGTTGTAAGGATGACCAAACAAGTGCAGATGCTAAAGAAGGAGGGCAGAGTACAGGCGCTATGAGTTGGTCTTTCATTACGACTATGAATCAGATGCCTAATCAATCCTATTTGTCGTTGTTGAATAACATGAGAACGTTATTAAAAAGCAAGTATTCACAGAAGCCTCAATTGAGTTGTTCACATCCACAGGATATGAACTTGAAGTTCATTATGTAGAGTTTGTTTTATTGTAATATGAATATACAGTTAAGAATTTTATGAAAGATAAATAGAGTCGTGTCTAATGACAGAATGAAAATAAAACACGCATAAAAATGGTTACGCCTATTAATAGTAGGTGAGCCAAGTTTATAGAGATCTTCAAGACCTAAGTAAAGTGATGTCTGATAAATTTGGAAGAAATAAGTCTACGAGGTGGGTTAAAGCATCTATTCCTACGTATGGAGACGAGTGGGGCGATGACTACGATTATGACTACGAGTCAGGTAACGAATCAGAACCTGAACATTCCGAATCTCAAAGTCGAACAGCGAATGAACAAGGCACTAGTGTTGAAGAAGAGAAAGGTCAGCGTAAGAATTCTGATGTACTACAATTGGACCAATATGATAATCGTGAAACGGACGCGGATGTTCAAGCACAAAATCCTAATTTAGTATTGTCTATTGATAAACTAAGAACGAGACGCTATACCTCAGAAGATTCTTCCAGTGAAGATGAAGAGGGGCCAGAGATTATGGATGAAATAGATGAGCCATATAGGAAAAGCGGAAGTGAAGATTTTGTATTTGAAGATAATAAAGCAAAGTTGCAATCGAAACAACTATCTGGTGCAGGTGATGATAAAACAAGCGAATTATCAGAAATGCCTATAAACCAAACTATAACTACACACGATAAACAATATGGCCAGAAATCCGATTTGCTTCCTCCAACACCTACATTCAGTACAACAGATAAAACGAATAACTCAGTAGGTGAGACTCCAAAATCTGAGCGGAGTTATCAATCTGATGGGGATTCTATCCAGAATGAACCGTCAGACTTGAATATAAGAGATATTGGTAAATTCAGTTCCCATTTAGATGAAGATGCGTACTCTAATGATATACCTGTTGAATCAAACCATATGACTCAAGAAGATCACCTGGATAAATATATGAAACATGATCACGAGCAGCTTGAAAATCAGCCAGATGAAAGCACTATGAGCTCGAATGAAGGTAAATCGACGGAAGCTCCGGCACCTTTAGTTTTGTCCATTGATAAGAAGAATTATGACGACAACGACAATAGTAGTGATGATTGGGGATATAATAGTCAAAAGAATAGTGACGAGGAGACAGCGAATGAAGACGAAAAGCATCCAACGGAAGTTGAAAAGCCTTATAATGAAGACTTGAACAAGGAATCAGATTCCGCTCGTAAGAATAAAAGTGACGCTTTGGACAATCTAATAATGGATTTACAAAATGCTTCGCTAGTCGGACATAAAGATGGGCAAGTAAGTAAATCAACGCGAAATGAAGCTTCTGGACAGGATGAATTATTCCTTAATATGGATTCGTTGCAGAACATTTCCTTGCCGGATTTTGAAAATAACTCATTTAGTCATTATGATGAAGAAAACCATAAGGGTTTGAACATACAAACTATCTTACCTGGCGAGCAAGAAGAAGATTCGCAACCGCCAACACCTATTGCGCCGTTAACTTTTGGAGATGAGGTAAAAGGTCATGAAGATTTTGTTACAGGTTTAACCGGTCATAGGCGGTCGATAAGGAAGCCACCACCTAGTTCAACTAATCCAACTACAAATAGAAATGAATTAGTATCTGTTGATTACACTAATATTGCGGATGCTGTTAGTGGATACATGAATGACGATGGCAGTAATAAGAATTTAGATCTAAATCTGGGAGATTCAGGAGCTGCGAGATTATCGAATGTTCCAGAAACCGAAGGCGATGATAATGAAAACAAGGACTTAGAAGCTGAATTGAATCCTACTATTTCAGCGGCATCGTCAGGATCTTTATCGACTGGAAGCTTTTCGTTTGATGCTGCGCAGTCTGCTTCTCAGAAAGAAGAAGCCCCAAAACAAGAAGATACAAACAAAGAAGGTGATGATATTTCAAGGAGAGTCTCTACAATGAGTACTAATACCATCAGTATGGGAAATTGGAAACCAAATACTAATAACTACCGCGATCAATTTATCAATGACAATGATAATGAATCACAAATAAACTTTAACCCATATGCAGATTCTAATAGTAATTACAATAAGTTCACGAAGATGAGAACCGTATCTGGAGCCTCATTCGATTCTGCATCCAATACAAGTTCTGTGTCAGTGCCTGAAACTATTGATGCAGCATTGCCAAGTATTGATGAAGATCCAGACAACCATGATTCTACGATTAATGGTAGTGACAATAGTCTTGATTTAACTAAAACAATCAACACTACAGACTCTGTTTTGAAAGAACATCACTACCATCCCCAAGTATTTAAGGAAGAGAAAGTGACTCCTATTAGTTCGAAGGATGACTTGGGGAAATCTTCTACACAAGAACCACAGAAATATTCTAGTCTCTTAGGAGCAAGTACAGGGGAGACCGAGGACAATGACCTTTCAAGAACTAAATCGAGTTCGTCGTTTGCTAGTAACGAGGAAGCCACGTCAAATACCGACAAAAGATTGGGAAGTACATCTTCGGCAGGCACAACATCTCTATCAGCAACTAGAAATTTCACTCCACAACCGTACAATTTATACAATTGGAAGAGTATTATGGCAACGTCCCAACCTATAGATCGGATTCGTTTGCTTAGAGATGCACTCCAAAAAGAAGCCGATTATGACACAGGCTTACTGAATTGGCTAAATGAATCTTTAAGACAATCAGAGGATGCTTCAAATATTCACATAGGCAAAATTGCTACTCAAGCGTATCAAAATGCTGCTCACAATGATATTAGAAGGCATGCATCGATTAGAAGTAAGGTTTCAATTGTTAGAGATAAGGTAGAAACTTCCGGATTACAAGCTTCAAGTTTAGGTAAAAGATTTTTCAATCGTGGTAAGAAGTTAATGAAATCATCGGGTAATGAATAAATAATGTTAGCATATTCAATTGTATATTTTTTTTTTATTGCGATCACATGCTGTAGATAAGAAAAGTACCTCAAAATAAATTTACTGACTATTCTAGGTATTTTTATTGGAAACACCAGTACTTTTGTCTATAAACGCTTTTCAGAAAGAAAGAGAGAAATGATTAGATTACAACGATAATGTTTAGTAGTTTATTTAGGTCAATTATTATCCCTATTATTGCGTTAATAATTAACCATACCCCCTTATTTATATGGGTAATTATAGATTTTATAGTTGATATTTGTTTCTTCTGGGTAAAGAAGTTATACCAGTTTTATAACACAAAAGATCCATTCAAAGAATATTTGAAGCAGTTGAAGAATGCTCTGAGTTACAATGAGTGGAAAAAGATTGCTGCAGAGATTGATAAATTAACAAATATGGGCCTATGGAGACAAAATTTTATTTCGAAACATTATGATTATATTCTTGTTGATGATAGATTAAAGTTATTAAGAGAGGCAAGGTTGAATCAGGATTCACAGTTGATTATCTCTTTGTTCCGGTCGGGATTAATGAGAAATTTTGGTGGTTTATCCCAAAAGAGATTATATACAAAATCCTACTTAGGGACTAAATTCAAGATAGAGGAGTATATAACTGAGGTATTGAATTGTCTTAACTATTTAAATGAGTCCATAAATGCTCCTTCTGAAAGAGACAACGATGAATTTATTATGAATAGCAAACAGTTGAAGTTGGATTTTTTCCACGATGCAAGACAATCATTCGGTTGTACAGCGCTTTTATTACAGGGTGGTTCGTTATTTGGTCTTTGTCACCTAGGCGTTGTTAAAGCGCTATATTTTAAGGGGCTTTTACCTAGAATTATCGGGGGAAGTGCCATCGGTGCTGCTGTGGCATCATTAGTCTGTACTTTGACTGATCAAGAATTAATTCCTATATTAATTAACATTGCCGATGTGATTTCTGATATTGATAGATTGAATCACGATGTAGATGAAAGATATGGAAATGTGATTGAGAACGTTGTCAAGAAGGGCTATTCACAAGATATATTAATATTTTTGAAGTTTGTCCGGGATACAATCGGTGACTTAACATTCGAAGAGGCGTATTTGAAGACTGAAAAGATTTTGAATATTGTTGTTCACCCAACTCATCAATCTGTGACTTCTTTGTTAAATTATATAACGGCTCCAAATGTAATAATTTGGACTGCTATTTACGCTTCTATCGGTACAGGAGTGCTTTCAGATAATGTTCAGCTTTATGTTAAGGATTTTAACAATCAGATTGTTCCCAAGGTTCCAGATTTCGATGTTGTATTTTTGAAGCCGCAAGATGTGAGCTACCTGCAGCAGTATTTTCGGGCATCGAATAGAAAAAAGGATGATCATCCCAGTAATTCCACGAATTCCAAGGCTAAGAATTCTTCTTCTGAACCTGGAAATAAGAATGGTTACAACGATAACACTAGTTACAATTATCACTTGAAGGAAAGTTCACCATATACTAGATTGACAGAATTATTTAATGTAAATCATTTTATAATTAGTTTGGCTCGTCCATATCTAGCACCATTAATAAGTAATGATTTGAAGCATTATCATACTTCATATGGTAAGGTGCGTTACAATAATGAAGGAAATGAGAGGAATAATATGAAATCTAAATTTAGTAATCAAATAATCATTGATGAAAATAAACCACCGGTATTGGATAAGAATAAAACTTCGGTTAATGATATGGAAAAGTATGCCAAGGATACTAGTTATAACTTTATGAAATTAATAAAAAACCTATTAGGTATGGAAATTCAGCATAGGCTAGAAGTAATGAATAAGTTAGGTCTTTTATCAGATTTAATTAAACGATTTTGTATTGATGAGAAGCCATCGACACCTCAGTCATTGACTAACATAAGAGAAATATCAATAGTTCCAGAATTGAGATATCTTGTTAAAGACTTCGGGAGAGTCTTTGATGTTCACAAGACTATGGAAAATATTCCGTACTGGATCTTAGTTGGTGAGAGGTCTGTTTGGCCATTATTTCCATTGTTATGGGCTAGATGTTCAATTGAATTTGCATTGGACGATTTATATAATATACACAGAAAGAAAGGTTAGTCCCAATTAAGCACATTAGCGGAAAAATAATTTAATACTAGATTCTTTATTAACATAGTAAATATATTCTTTTTCAATGACTTCTACGCCTTCAATATTTTCGTAAGGGATTGTCCCTTTTGATATAGTTAAGCAACCCGTGATATCATTTGCTCTTCCAGTAGGTAAAGGTTGTAAATTAAGATTTAGTTGAGATCTATGGTAGAGCTTCAGCAAAAAGTCCGTGATCTTAAATACTGAGTCTTGAGGTATACTTACGGATAGATCAATCATTTGTGGATAGTCTTGGGCCAGTATCACAAATAATTGGCGGCATAATTTGTTTATTTTGAAGCACTGCTTTAAAAGCTCATTACTTTCAATATTGGTTGATGACAATAGGATTTCCATTGATTCAATGAATATAACTTTATTACTATTAGCACTTGCATTGATTTCATCCATAATATTTTCAAATAACTTGGAAACTTCACCTGAAGCCTTGCTTGGATTCTTAATTGTCTTTAAAAATAAATCACTAAAACAATCAATAAATTTGAAGTTTGGCAATAATGATAGATCTAATCCATTTTTCTTACAGTTTTTGATATAAAAGTCCTTTGGATGGGAGAACGAAATAAAGTAGACTTCAGACCTATTGGGAACCTTTCTATTAAGATCATTATTAACTAGGCATGCAGTTCCAATTAACGAATTTTCAAGTAGTGAATTAATTAACCATGTAGGAGAAGTACCTTGTACGTGTGAAATTATTGAACAATATGAGGACGGAGACTTCAATATTTCATTTGAAATTAATGAATTATCGTTGAAGAGCACCAAATCCTGTTGCTGAGATGTTGCCATTATATGAATTTAAGTCGATACATAAACTCTATGGATTCTAAAGGCCAGTATATCAGTACTTTACTGAAATTTTTGTGTTGTCACATGATCTTTATGAAGCAGAGCATCAAAATTTTGCATCTTCAACTGATGATTGTAGGTTTCCTTTGAATAAAACAATAAATATGTATGTATGTTTCTAATGTATTTACAAAGTGAAGTATATAATTTACAAAGTATATAATAAATGGTCATGTATCGGAGTCATCAATTTGCCTTCAATCCTGACTCCAAATACAGGTCAAATCTTTTAAGTGCAACTTGATACAATAACAACATGATAGAACTCTGAATTCCTGTCCAAATAAACCTAGGCCCAACACCCGAGAATAACCCAAATACACCTTCAATCTTATAGATAGATCTTAAGGCTTTTATTGTCGATGACTTATCTAATATTGAGAATATTGGATTTGTGCTTTGAGTTTTTCTAGTTAATGCAGGCTTCAAGGATGCAGCTGCGGTAGATGTAGTTGCAGTTTGAATTCTCGTTTTAATGACATCCAATGGCGTTGTCAAAATACCAGCCAATCCACCAGCCGAGGCACCGGTGAATAACTCTATTGAAACTGGCAAATCATCTGATTCATGGTAATAGATAGCAAGCTGCCTGATCTTCTCATAAAAAGCAAATTGCAAGGCACTGAACGGCAAATCTCTGAATAATGTTTCCTTATATCCAAAAACCAACGTTGAAGGTCCTTCTTTTTTCCATATAGATGATATCGCATCGGTCAATCCTTTATAATTGTAACCACACCCTTTGGTGTGCGGATTATTGTGTCTTCCTTGTAACTGTAATCTTGTTTTCAAGACTTCTGAGGGAACATAGAAAATGCTAGAAGCTAAATCACCCAAGACACCAGATATAAAATAGGATATAGTTTCATTAAAATGGAACTCATTGATAAGCTTTCTCTTGGAATATTCGTAGGTCCCGAAAAATGCTGCCGTAGAAGGAAGAGACCCAAGTATAGCTGGAGTATATCCTCCATATAAACCTCTAAAAAATCCCTCTTCCTTAAAAATTGTTAAATATGCTGGTATCATACTTCTATATTTAAGCTGATACAGAAATCCTTGTTGCCTTGTTTTGACAGTATCTAGAGAGTGCATAGCAGAATCTCCAACTACTCCTCCAAACCCACCAGCTAACATACAGTTAATGATAGGTGATGCGTTATCCGAGAATGATTCGGAATCGGGTGGTGCATTTCCTGATGAACTAGGAGGAATATGTTGCCATTGCAGATGCCCTTCATGCTGTGGATTAAAACTCAACGGTATAGTGGACGAAGTATATACCTGGGACATGACGGATGTGAATATTAATTTTTTTTTGTTCTAGTCTATAATAACAGGATATTTTACTTCTATGATAATATTAGTTTAATTCTTAAGCTTAAATAAAAATCTATGTTATCTGGAATAAAATTTAACGATTTGGTTTATCCTTTGGTATTACCATCAAGCTAACTATGATTTTCGGATACAGGGTAATGAATGCCAAATGTAAATGGTATATTTTCTCGTTTTTTATTGTTCTAAAAGCCTCCAATGAGACACTGTTCGTAATATAGTCAAAAAAGCTTTTATAGAATATAATCTTCTCTTTAGCATTGATAGCCTTTTTCGTCGTTACATAATTTGATAATTTTCATCTTCACTATATACCGGATATGTAGATTGTTAGCATAATAAATATTTCATTCCCAACTGTTGATATATATAACGTTTTTGACAGCATCTGGATAAACTTTGGCTCGAACAGTAAAAACACAAGCGTATACCATTACTTGTGATTAAAGTTCGTAGGATTATTTATTGGTATTTTGTTTTATGCAATATTGAAAACATTGAATTTATTCCGAGTAAAGCGAATCTATTTAGAAGAGGTAAGACGGATAGAACTTCATAAAAATAAGTGATATGATATGATACGATCGAGCATATCGAGAGGAAAATTACCAAGAAGGATTGGCAGAATTTATGGCGGTAGGTGTTACATGGTTTTGGCGCTCGAATCATCTTGCGATGATGCATGTGTAGCTCTTCTTGATAAATATTCGAAAGATCAAGCACCAAAGGTTATAGACCAAATTAAGGAGACTTTGAACTCATCTAAGACTGGTGGAATTATTCCCACAGATGCACACGAGTTTCATCAATTTACAATTGCAAATTTGGTAGCTAAATTCTGTAAGAAACACAATCTTAATTCTGCTTCACCACCAGATTTGATATGTTGCACGCGAGGTCCTGGTATGGTAGGCTCGTTGAGTGCTAGTTTACAATTTGCTAAGGGACTTTCAGTAAGTTGGAATAAGCCATTGATTGGAGTTCATCATATGTTGGGCCATATTTTGATAGCAAATTTACCAAAGTGTCAACAACCCGGAATGAAGGCACCTAAATACCCGTTTTTAAGTCTACTTTGTAGTGGAGGCCATACTATACTCGTACTTCTGAAATCGCTCACTGAGCATGAGATAATCATTGATACGGTGGACATTGCGGCCGGTGATTCTATCGACAAGTGTGCGAGAGAGTTGGGTTTGATTGGGAATATGTTGGGAAAAGAATTAGAACGCTACGTTAAAGCCATTCCTGAAGACTTGAAAAAAAAATTCGAAAACATAAATACGAAGTCAAGAGATAATGAGTTTAAGTTTCAGCTTTCACTTCCTCTAAGAAGCCCTAAGCACCTGAAAATTCCTGAAAATTTAGAATTTTCTTTTGCATCATTCTTGAGTACAATTCAAGGTTACAGGACAAAATATTTTAACGGTAAAGAATTTGATGAGATGACAAAAATGTTTATTGCATTTAAGCTTCAGGAGCTGGTTCTTGACCACATGGTTAACAGAATAAATATTGCGTTGACTAAACACGGAATTGATACCACGAACTACACGAAAGCAGATGGAAAATTTAAGGGTGTTCAAGACTTTATTTGTTCAGGAGGAGTAGCATCGAATCAAAGGTTAAGAAGTAAACTTCATAACGATTTAAATTACAAGTGCTTGAATAAAGAATCAGAATCTCATATTCTTAATTTCCATTTCCCCGATTTAGCATTATGTACTGACAATGCCATCATGATAGGTGTCGCAGGTATTGAAATATTTGAAAATTTAAAAGTTAAATCCGACTTGAATATTTTGCCAATAAGAAAATGGCCAATGGATGAGTTATTGAAAGCTGACGGGTGGGTTCAATTGAATGATGAAGAAATTAACAAAATACGTAATTTAGATCTATAAATTCATATGTACATATCAAATCAAATTGTTTATTAAGCATTATTCATTAATTTCATCATCGTCACTAGATGAGTATGTATCATCCGCTTCAGGTCTGGTATCTAAATAAGACTCTGTTATGTTGAATCTCTTTATCAAACCTTGCCAGGTTTTATAATCAAATGTTGCAATATGGTGATTTGATTCTCCTTTAGAAGGGTTTAATTGACTGATCTCGTATTCCTGTGGGTCAACAGTCTGAACAATCGGTATTCCTTCATCATTCAGGTATAATTTTAATCTCGCGTCTTTGATAAGAAAACTTGTGAAGAATAGATTTTCAATTGACTGAGCAAATGAATTAGGGTTAATAAAAAATTTAAAGAAATTAACGCCGGCATCATCTTTCTTTTGAACGAAAGTTTTATATACATTTTTAACCATATGAGCCGTATTCTGTTCTTCATTTCCTGATATATCATTTGCTTGAACCAGCTGAGCAGTCGTTGACAAAGAGTTTTTCGTATCGTCTATATTTCTTGTCCTCCCTGACTGCCTTCTTCTTTCCGTTTCCAAAGGTCCGTAAAGAGAATCTGTAACGACTGCCTTATTACTTACCGAGCAATATAAAGCACCTAACTTAAGCCAATTATAAGAATTAAAGGTATCTTCCTTAGTACTGGTTTCATTATAATCACCTTCATACGCGTCATCTTCCGCTGCTGCCTCGTTGGGATTCAAGTAGCTTCTTAAATGAGAGAGAAAGTCTTTTTGACTCAACGATATTCCCATGTCATCGAATTTCAAATTTTTAGCATTAGTCGCTGCAAATTTGGACGTATCCATAAATGCTTCTGCATCCTTTAAGTGAACCTTTGTATCTCGATTATGCTCTTTTTGTACGATCTCATAGATCACCTTTAACTCTCGCAAATGGTCTAATACCAATGTTGTAGCTTCACCTTTATGGGCTTCTGAATTTTCATCTCGCATCTTGCTCTTAAGAAATTCATATCTATTCATTAAGGTATTTTTATCTGTCTTCTGCATTTTTCTTGCAGGTTCCCCATTTTGTAGGCTTTCATCAGAACTGCTATCGTATGAATTTTCGTCTGAATCAGTGGTACTTTCATTTCCGTTGTTTTCTAAGTTGTTTATTAAACCATTTGAAGAAACTCTATTAGAATCTTCATTTGAAGATTCTAGCTTCGTGCTAGACATATTATCCAATCCTTGTAATTTAGATGGTTTCTTTGGATTAATCTATAAAATAACTTTATCCAATTTCTGTGATGATTGATTACACTTGTCGCGTAAATAAAAATTCGGTACTAGGATTATTATATTTTCATGTCTAATAATGCTGAACATGGCCGATAAGGGATCTATGGATGAGAATGAAAGACAGAAGATCAAGCATTTAGATACATCTGTGGTAAACAGAATTGCTGCAGGAGAAATTATAATACAACCTGCGAATGCTTTGAAAGAACTACTAGAAAACTCGATTGACGCTGAATCTACAATGATTGATATTCTTATAAAAGATGGTGGGCTCAAGCTACTACAAATAAGTGATAATGGGCATGGTATAAATAAAGATGACATGAGTCTTTTATGTGAGCGATTTACCACATCGAAGCTTTCCAAATTTGAAGATTTACAGAGTATTTCAACATATGGGTTTAGAGGAGAAGCTTTAGCGAGTATTTCCCATATTGCAAGACTTTCTGTGATTACTAAGACGAAGCTGTCACAGTTAGCTTATAAAGCCTATTATTTGAACGGTAAACTAACAAATGCAAATTTCAAAGCTGACGTATCTAATATCGAGCCCAAGCCAATAGCTGGAAAAGATGGCACTCAAATCATAGTTGAAGATTTGTTTTACAACGTCCCTTCTAGACTAAAGACGTTAAAATCTAAGAATGATGAGTTCTCAAAGATCCTAGACGTGATAGGAAGGTACGCAGTTCATACAGAAGGCGTAGGATTTAGTTGTAAAAAATTTGGTGAATCATACCAAGTACTTGTAACCCGTCCTACAATGACATTAACTGAAAGAATACGTACAATATTTGGGCCAGCAGTTGCTAACGAATTAATTGATATAGAAATAAAAGGAACTGGGACGATGAAAGAAGATTATAAGGGAAAATATGGGTTAGTCAGGGTATCTGGAGCCATAACAAATTCGAACTATAATAATAAAAAGAAAATTCAACCAGTTTTCTTTATTAATCATAGATTAGTTACTTGTGAACCATTGAAAAGAGCCATTAGTTCCATTTATCAATTCTTTTTACCAAAGGGCAATCAACCTTTTATGTATTTGAGTTTGGAAATTGAACCTCAAAATCTTGACGTTAATGTTCATCCGACTAAAAGGGAAGTTAGGTTTTTATATGAAGACGAAATCATCGAGATAATTAGTGCAAAGGTACACCAGTTATTATCGAGTATCGATTCGTCGAGAAAGTTTAAAACTCAAAATATATTATCAGGTAGGCAAGATCTTAAGAGGTCGAATGATGAATTCTCAGGGTTGTCCCGTGAATATACACTTAACGAGTCTTTGTCGCAACCAGCAAAGAAATATAGACAAGAAAATAAGTTAGTAAGAGTCGATGCACAACAGTCTAAACTCAATACATTCTTGACCGGACAAACAGATAGTAATTATCACGGACAAATGACGAAAGAGTTCACACAACCTGAGATAATACAAGAAGGAATACCAGGTGATATGGTAAACGAAGCCACTGAGTCAAGGTTGGATATTAAATCCAATAACAGTATAGATTCACAAGGTATTAATTCTAGCCTTGATTTACAGTATCAAATGTCAGATCGGAAAAGAATGAAAGTAAATCTTGAGAGCATATTAAGTTTAAGAAAAGAGACGACAGATAAAGTACATAAGCCATTAACAAATATATTTAATAACTCATCCTATATTGGTATCATCGATGAACTGAGGAGGCTCTGTTGTTTCCAGTTTGACGTTAAGTTATTCATGTGCGATTATTCCGCCGTACTTTATGAATTTTTTTATCAAGTAGCATTGGCTGAATTCTGTAACTATGGTGGAATTACGTTATCCGAAACGCTATCATTAGATGAACTACTTGAACCGTTATATATTTCTGCATTAAATGATGACAAAAAGTTGCAAAAAAAGACAGATGTTATTTTAAAGATAATGAATATGAAGGATATGTTTATGGAGTATTTTCAGATAAATTTCAGTTACGATGCAGATGGAAAAGCTTCAATTCTTGCACTTCCAATGCTTTTGAAAAATGTTAAGCCGTATATGTCAAAATTGCCATACTTCATCTATAGATTAGGATCTCGTATAGATTATGAGAATGAAAGGGAGTGTTTGAAAGGGATACTAAGAGAAATTTCATTGTTGTATGTACCTGAATCGATTTCAAACGAATTTACACAAGTCTATACCACTGGTACATCAGACGAACAAGAGCATACACAAGAATACGAGAAACAGAAGAATGTTGTAAAAAGAAATGAACTTGACCATGTTTTGGAGCATGCTTTATTTCCCGCTCTTAAACAAAGATTTCTAGCTACTGAAAACATGCTTGGTGCTGTAGTTCAAATTGCAGATTTGCCTGGTTTATATAAAGTATTCGAGAGATGTTAAGTAGGTTGTAGTTCTGATCAAAAAAAAATCACAATCATACGACATTGTTTTATACGACATTTATAGTGTGAAAAATAGATATGGAGTACTTGAACAATTTTGAATCAACAAGTATTCTAGACCTGGATAGTTACCATAATAGTCAAGTTGTAAACTAAGCGGCATTAAAATGTTAATTGAAACTTCCGTAAATGAGAAGTATATGAATACGTTGAACTTTGACTGTTTTCCAAAATCAGTGGGCAATTTCCAAGATTCTCCAGAATTTTTCCAACAGATTATATTTATTGACTACCAATTGCAATCGTTGGTCCAGAAGGAGTTCAAACAATTGAGTATTATACAGTGTCGTAATGCTTTTGCAAAAAATGATTGCTCTTTACGAGGAAGTTTGACTAATTTACTTCGATTTGCTGAATCTCTTGAAAATTATAATGATATTCCAAATACAAGTCATGAAGAAAAATTATACTACGCTGTCATCATGACTCATTTGTATTACCTCAGCTCACAACCCGAAGAGTTAATACGTACCAACGAAAAATTTGAGTCATCAATACCATCAGCTTTACATTCTACAGCATATATACATAATGATTTCGTTGAATATTTGGTTTGCCGTCAGATAGTGTTATTAGGTTTGGGCGATGAACAAGGTAGATATAAATTATGGGCGGAATATTTAATTTCCTTAAAGAAACCATTTACGAAATCCAATATAGCTGCTTCACATTGGTTGGATGTACTATTTGGCGAAATGGCCGTATTATTATCTAGCCAGGATAAAAAATTGATAGCCTTTGACAGCGATATTAAAGCTCAAAGTTTTTCAAAAAATAGCCTTATGTTGGTTCTGTTCAGTAACTATTTAATGAAGATTGAAAACAGACATCTTCTTGACGTTGATTTTAGAGCACAATTTTCAAATTATATAAAGATACATATCGAGTCCATTATCACGAATGAGCACCATTTCCCGGATGCTAGCTCAGAAAACCATGATTTAAACTTTTTCGTTTATAACTTGTACGAATCGTTGAGTTACGTTCCTATGAAATATCAAATTTTAAGTGGCCTGTTATCGAAAAAGTTATTAATTAACTTGACCCAAAAATCGTACCAAAGTCAAATAATTTTGAGGACCTTGATCAAGACATTGATTGATCGGGAAGAATATGACGAAGCATACGCTGCATTTAAAACCTATATTAGCTACATTGAAAAAGATCAGGAACAGCATAATGGATACATACATGATGTTTTATCAATTATTGACACATACTCAATGTGCATATTACGTTTTAATCCTTTTGATTCACTTTCTCTTCAATCTAATGATTCGAAGAAGTTCAAATATGTTACCCGGGATCAAATATTACATTCATTGGATAAAGGTGCCGTCGAATTAAAGGGCTATTTACGTGAGCTTGCAAATATCTGCGATTTGACGTACGACGACTCCCCAAACAGTAGTCATATTTCATTCTTATATCTGAAGTATAACGATAACGTGATGCAGGAGGATAATTCCAATTTTATTAAGCTAATCTCCAAGTCATGGTATTCTTTGGGATATTATTACTACTACCTATGCAGCTTTGAATTGCCAAATTATGAGACGATTGATGCTTATACCAGTAAAGTTCTCAAATATTACAAAAACAGTTTGATAATTAATACCACAGGTAATATTTCATATTTGTTCAATTATGCGTTGGTATTATCGTACAATAGATCAATACAACAAGCCATTAAATTATGCAAGTTCATTTTAAAAAGACACCCGGAATCATTCAAGACCTGGAATTTGTTAGCATTATTGCTCAGCTCGTTAGAAACGCATAGTTCTGGTGATAATGCCCAGAACCAGAAACACACGTATCAAGTTAATGTCACAATTGATGGTAGTATTAATGATACTATGAACGGTAGTGCCAATGGAACTGCTGCATCAAATATCCAAGTGACTAATATCAGAGAACTGGAAAAGATCATTAATAATGGTCTCAATATTGCTGGTATATATCTTGTTAGAAATCGCAAATCCAATTTGAACCTTACAAATGAAACTAAGTTTGATATATTGCAATTAAAATTAACTCAGCTATCAATCTGGGAATCAACATATGGAACTCATTATATTTTAGAATATTTGCCGGAAGTTTTCGTATTATATAACGAACTATTTGATATTGATATTGAAACCAATAAGGCCGATGACGCACAACTTCGAACAAATATTGCTAAGTGGTCGCATCGACCAAGCTTTATAGATCCATCATCTACTCAAAATAATGATATTAAACAAGAGAATCATTTATCAAAGGAAAAAAAGTTAGCAAAGGATAAAATAAAAAGGATGTCAAAAATATCAAAGTCTAAAGATAAAAACGATTATCCAACTAACGGTACATCGAAGAAAAAGTTAAATATGACAGAAAGAAAAATTCTACAGGATATCTGGGTATGGGCTAGTAAGATATATTTAAAAATAGGATTTTTGGAAGAAGCTGAACAATGCATTGTTGAAGCGGAAAGTATCCATGAACCAAACACCAAAACTATTACAAGCTTAGGTTTAATATGCTCATGCAGTAGGAAATTCTTGGCTCTACAGGAATTCGAAAGGTCCCTAGAAATATTAAATGAGCCGATTAACTACTACAAGAAGAAGGAACTTGGTACTACATTACTAGGATTGTGTAAATTAATCATTCTTGATGACAATATAGATAATTCTTTATTCATATCAACAAAAGATTTGAGCTCTGGGTTAATTAGATTGAAAAACTACTTAGAACAGTTTTCCCAAAGTTGGCCGTTTGGCTATAACAATTCTGAAATCTGGTGGTATTTGAGCTTGATTTACGAAAAAATAGACGATAAAGTTATGTTAACTAAAAGTTTGTGGAAATGTGTTGAATTAGAAGATTTTAGACCGGTAAGGGACTTTGATTGTTGTAGCGAATTTATTCCTTAATTGTATATATATATATGTAGGTTTATATATTTAATAGCAGTAATATGAAGGTCGGTCTTATTCCATGTATCGGCGATAATATTGCGAACTGCGACATTTGTTACGTATTATCAAAAAAAATTGCACTACAATTACAATACAAGGTGGCCTATTCATTGAAACAACTAACACAATGACTGAAGTATTACCAAAGAACGTTGAATATTGTGGAGTATGTACGTTCCCTCCAGAGTATTGCGAATTTGGTCTTTCATTTAAAAGATGTAAAGAATGGTTACAAGAAAACCAACCAGAATTATTTGAAAAATTATACAGTGCAGATGCATTGGCAAATGCTACTTCAACATTATCGTTAGAAAAAGAACAGAAAATATCGCAGGAATTGGAGAAGAAACAAGCTAAAGAGGAAGCTAAATTGGAAAGAGAATTGCAGAAGAAGTTGTCATCGAAAGTCACGATTAAGAGAATTGAAAGAAATAAGAGAAAGCATGTTATTTCCATTTCGGGATTAGAAGTCTTCAATATTGATATGAAGAAGTTAGCCAAGACCTTTGCATCTAAATTTGCTACTGGTGCATCTGTCACTAAAAATGCAGAAAAGAAGGACGAGATTATTGTTCAAGGTGATGTTAGTGATGAAGCTAAGGATTATATCGAGAAATTATTACAAGAGAAGGCATTAGATGAAGTTAAAGTTGAACAAATCGACGAAAAGAAAAAGAAAAAGCCACCAGCACCTTAATTCATGTAAATCAAATTATGTATCTAAGTTAATTATATATTTCATTCCATTAAGAAGTTTTTATTAGATTCTGAATTATTGAATTATACATAAACGAGCATTTCTTAATTATACTCTTTATTTTTGGGCTTATGCTTCCAGTCTACGTCTTGTAATATGCAATTATGAATAATATAACTTGAAACACATCATTTAACTATGAATACTTAGATATAATTACCAATGTAATTACATAATTACCAATTGTCATGCTGTAAATTAATAATTCAATACGCTATATATAAATTTCAAACCTAATAATGAAGTAGCATTCTGGTGGAAAGTTTAGAAATTTTATTCGAAGATTGTTCGCTAGCATTATAAAGACAATTTGATAGCCTTTTTCAAATATCTAAAAATGCATAAATTGTTTTACAATATCATTTTAAAAACAAGACACCTTAAATAAAACCTTCTTTAATTATACTATTTTCAATTTAGCAAGTCTACATAATGCAATGAATGTTACATTTAAATACATTGCGGTTGATAAATACTTCTTCCTTCGTCTCAGTAAATATTAATAGAAAGATTTTTTGTAGATTTATGCTTAAACATTTTCGTACTTATGCCAGAAATTACTTTAGACTTAAAGATATTTCAGATTAATACTTTCAATTTCAAGACATACCGAAGCTTAGAATTTTTCCATGATTCCATTTCGATAGCCGAATGCGAAAATTGCAGCAGTTGTTATCAGAACATTTATGAGCGGATAATTCTCTCGCAGTGGGAAAGATTAAATACCTTTTGTAACTGAACCTTTTGTCTTCTGACATTACTATTTGGTCAAGATAATTTGAATACGCTCTTCTAGGTCATTCTGTTTTCTGTTTCTGCACTAACGCTTATTCTATTACTGCAAAACTTCACGAAGATAACAATAAGAAGCTCTGTATGTGGCCTAGTCGTGTATATATTCTATTCTGTCAGATTCATGCAACAGAGTCTATGCGCGTGTTATAACAACACATCTCACAAGTTTTGTCCCTACTAGTTGACTCCAATTTCATCATCATGAACAATACAATATCACCTAAGAAAACCATTGGTAATATTATTCCTTCGATTATATGTAATATACACCGCTATTATTAACGATTAGTCTGCATAATTTTTTTCCTTTATCAATTATTTTCTAACCAAAAAGCCTCTATTCCGTATTACTCTTCATATACGATAAATGCATTACAAAATGAAAAGTAAGGACTTCTTTTTACCATTGAGCTGAGGAAACCTAATGACATAGAATAATTGCTGCTTTATTTTCCTAAGAGTTACATCAATTGCAGTTTGAATTCCCAATGGCTGTGTCTTGTGGAATCCCATTTATACACAGTATTCCTACACAAAGAATTTATAAATAAAATGTTACATAGTTGCAATCATCGTAATTTATACGAGAAGTTTAAAAGCTGCATAAACATCTTTGATTTCATGCACGAAGTTTCTTAATTAGATAAGCGCCTCTGCTCCATGTAGAATCGTAAACATACATGAGCCTGAAACTTTAATTGAAATCCGATTATTTCCGAGATCAAAAAAGCAAACTAAACATGACAAGAAATGAAGAAAAGTGGAGGCGCACATAAATCGACTATTGAACAACACAGTTGAGAAGCTATCAAATTTAGTCTTATGGCATATTGTGAAGATCGAATTGAGGAAATAAGTATATACGGAAATCGAGTATTAAGAAATTGCAGAATAATTTAAGTAGTAAAATTCGCATAACCATTGAAGCAAGTACTCTTGTAGCCTTCGATCAAAATGTAAACTTCTATATAGTGAATATTGTAATATTTTGTAGTGTATATTAGAAGGTCGTTAATGGATATCTAGTTGTTTGGTAAGTATAACCAAACTAGGGTCTCAATATATAATGAACAAATGAAGAATACCAATGGGCAATAACATAGGTTAATAAATGAAATGTTTCATGCAGAATATAAACATCAAGTTGATAAAAAAACAGTTTTGCGAAAACAAGCAAAGTATTATGTGGATTATTAAGTCAGTATCATAAAAGCATATACCAATATGGAAGGAGTGTAAGTCTTGGTAGAATCATGTACTGGTAAGATCTAATAGATCAGTGCAAATTAAATATTAAATCTAGGATAACAATTTCGATATTTTTGGATTCTTGTCCGATTCCTCGGCATTGGCGTTTGGAGAGTTATTGCTATTGTTGCTGTTCATTAATGGAGGTAAAATTGGTGAATTCTTAAGTGAGCTATCAGTCAGCTGTTTAATTTTATATTCGCTGTTAATCGATGGTAATGAATTGTAGGACAGAGAGTGGTTAGCACTCGATAACTTTGGGGATGTTCTTAATGATGCTGAGGTATTTGATTGAGGTATAGTTGATAATGGGGGCAATGCCAAGTCTTTGTCTTTCATCGTATTCACCATGGGTGCAGACATAGATTGCATGCGCATGGATTGGGGAACTGGTGGAGTCCCTGAATTCATTTCTGATGGTGGTGCAACTGAGACTGATGGCAGAGGAACTGGATGGCCATTTTGCATATGTGCCATCGGTTGTGCATTGGAATATATGACGGGAACAGCTGACTGAACCATTGGCACTTGTGAATAGGGAATGGCCATGTTCGTCATCTGCTGTTGCATCGGTTGTAACGAAACCAAAGGTCCATATGGAGATTGAATCACATGGGCCTGTTGAGGCATATTCACCGGTGTAGCTGTAGTTTGAATAATTGGATAAGGAACGGTGAACGTAGGTTGCGGAGCATTGGTGTTGAGAAGAACCTCGTTTGGAGATGCCGACGATGAATTGGTGCCCCCAGCATTGGATTGGGGCGACTTTTCATTGTCAGGCCTATCTTGCCTCAAATGTTGGTTATATTGCGCCATCCGAAGAGCATTTCTCGCGTTGGAGTCCAAATTTAAGTATGCACAATGTAACTTTCCTTTCAAACAGTTCAAACATGATGGTAAGTTCTCGTCACACTTGATTCTTCTCTTTTTACAAGTGCCACACCCTAAATGCGAGTTTCTGTGCTTTCTTCTGGATGTTTTTTTCCTCCTGAGTGCCGCTTCGCTCTCCAACTTCTCGTCTTCCTTCTTAATCGACGGCGGCACCGGATTCTTCAACGCCGAATTGAAAATGTCCATCTTCAAGTCTCTCGTATTATGCGCTTCGTGCTATTTGGCTGGAAACCTCGCTTGCGTGTATAGAATTAATGTATCAATGTGTCCTCAACGGTATTTCGAATGTTTGTTTGAAGTTATCCAACTTTCAACCTTTACCTAAAATTTAATAAGACAACTAACAAGCAAGCCTATAATCGTCTATTTTAAGAATGCAAATGTATTATACTTTCCTGACTATTCAGTTTGTGTCAAGATTATTTATCTATACTCAAATCACTAACTTTCGTAGTCCGTGGTAGGTTCAGCTAAATATCTAAATATATTGTACTATAGATAAATTTTTTCACCAAAATGTCATTTTGTCGTAAAAATTCGAGTAATTTTTTACTTTTACGGGTGGGGCACATCCTACCGCCAGGAGTAACGAACATGGAAGCATAAAGTTTATGCGCCTATTGACCGAATTTCACACCTACATTTACACCGCACAGGTCACGGCATTAGAATCCGAATGGTATTATCCGAGTGTGTTTGCAGTGCACTCAACTATATTCTTTCGTGACCTCAAATTGATCTCGCAATTGCTAAGGTGGTCTCCATCTGTATTGTCATAACCTTTTGTTTAAACATTATAGAGAACTACACTCCTGAACCTTTAAAATGCCGGAATTGTTGATTGATTTCCTAATCCCTCACAACATGTAATAGTTGCTGCATATCTGTTATATATTATCTGTGGTATATATGAGAAATAGCCGCTGCAGAAGATATAACCTGATACAAAAACAATCTTGCGTTTGGTCCACACAAGCCCACAAAGAGTACCTCCTTATATGGGACTCGTTTAATTTTGCTAAAATTCGATGCCGCATAAATCGCGCATGAGTAATCGTTGTATAGCCTTAGTATAGCCACAAAAAAAGGTACAAAAGCAGGTTGAAGCGAATAGGCGATAGTGGAGGTAGGGGTCGATTAGACAACCCTGAATATATACTGAGCAGGTTTCGAGAATTCTTTCATTGAGAAACGTGATAGATACCTATTGCTTTCGGTTATGGAGTTAAGTATACGATACATGAAGGTTGAGGTAGGGAGGACTGACATTCGGAAAGAAGAGGTGGAGAGCGCGAAATCAAGATTGGGGGGAACAACGCACCCGAGTTCCCGGGTGGCCGTTGGAGCTAAGAGTACAGCGATCAGTAGTGAAGTGCGAAATGCTGACTAGTGTTTGATGCAGCGGGTAGCAGGTTGCGCCGCAACCCTCGAGTGTAGGTAAAAGTTTTGGAATGCCGACAGAGGCGGAATAGAGGCGATTTGGTGGTCGCAAGAGAACGCCCACAAGTATGTCGTTGCATTGGGTGCAGTGTGTGCATAAGGCTATTCTTCCCTTTTATTCGGTGAAGACAAAGATACCCGGTGGACTACTGCTATACTCCGGATTCTATCATCTTATTGTTTATATTCGAGAGTATTTTATTCACTATTAAGTTTAGCTAACTGTAAACTAGCAAATTATGGCGGGAATAAGGGATGGAAGTAATACAGAGGATATAGGGTATGAGATCGAGGTTTTGGGGTGTAATCGTACATAGTTTCAAGGTACTACTGTAAGCTTCCTTAAGTTAGTATTTTCTGGTAAATATGGAGCAGGATCCGTCATTATCTGGTCATGGGACGTATGCCTGTAATTTCGGGTGCTCCTCCGCTGTTGACAATTCACAGAGAACAACTATCAAGTCACCAGGATTGTTCTATAATTGGTTATAGGATTGAACTGAAATGTACTATAAAGTAGGGGTTAATAACTAAAAGACTGGTGCGCTAGCTTAATATTCCAAACACACGTTATTAAAATAAAAATGGATGCCTTTGGACAAGACCGAACATGTTTTATGACAAAGCGGTCTAAACTTGAGCGGATCTGACTATGTATTTCTTTGGCGAACTCAAGAAGTGCGACTAGCTTTGTGACGGGCGTATATTTGCAAGCTGTTGTTAATTATATTGATAGGGCATTCCTACATGGATGAAAATGGGGCATGTATCATACAAATTTCTGTTCTTGGAAAGTATTATGTTTGGTTCGCATAAGACTCGAAAGTCGCTTGGAGAATTAAAGTCCTGTATCAAAGCTGGAACAGCTTGTTGTGGATGTGAACTACAATAAAGGCTATACTTAATACAGAGATGAAAAATGGGTAAAAGTATTCCAAAAGCATATCTGTCCATTATAAAGAATCAAGAAAAGATTTATTTTCCTTAATTATGGTCAAGGGATAGAAGTCTTAGGTGTTGATCCGCGCGCACTAGGCTGCGAAAGATGTAAGCCGGCAATTGCATTCGTCTTGGGGACATTATTCAATCGCCATATTTTACATACGAATTTGCATGTGCTACAGGATATGAATGACAAGTATTTAGGAAACATCCAGAGAAATGGTACTTATTCACTAGTTCCTTGGATAGGTGCAGGAAAGGTCACCTCTGAAAAATTCACTGGTATTCAAAGGGTGGACTTATTCGGAGTTTCAAAAATCGACTCACCTAAGATCTGGGAAGAATTAGGGAGAATTTGGTTTTGAACGTGGTCAGACATATGGTCAAAGTTTAATAAACGTGAAATCAGGTTTTGGGTCTGCGTGGTGCCGTTATTGGTGATTCAGTTTGGCTTGTATTGTTTAGAAGAAAGGTGCAAGGGAATAAGGTCTCCTTATAAAATCAAAGGTGGAGTATCTTGATGCGTTCGAGAATTCTGTTCGAAGGATTTCGGCTTATGTGCTGTTCAAAATGGATTTAAACTTTATGTGGGTGGTAACGGCATGAAACTAGCGCAAGTACGATTATTAAAAGTAGATGTTCCACTGGACATGTTATCCTATTATTAGACAGATTTTAATGTTCTATTTTAGAACTGCAGACTGTTTACAAAGAACCACAAAATGATTAGAGAATTTAGACGGACGAATCGAATACTTGCGAGACGTCTTGTGTATGATAAGTTGGGAATTGCTATGGAATTGTAGACTGGCCGGAATATGAGGTTACGAAGGAAGGATACCAAGTGGCCTTCATTATCGTGGACTAAAGGTTGTCAATCCAAAGCTCTGTCCGATTCAGAAGCAGGATCGTCCGCCAATGTATTAATATATGATACCCAAATAGCACCATACATACTTAAAGTTCAACTAATCGCGTCGCACAATATGTGCTGTCATAAACGGCACTAGTTTTATCCTGTGCATTCTGTCAACGAAGAATACTTATATTTTCCAGTTCTTTGTACAAGAATTATATAACTGATAAGGGAAGTAATAAGGCAGGTTCATGTACAAATGATGCATCCCAATTAATGGCACGATTTGATGCGATGGAATCAAATGACAAAATATTTGTCAAACTACCTCCAATAGCAGACTTGGATAAAGTATTTGTAACTTCAAGATGGAGGGTCAGAAAAGAATAAAGTGGGAGTAATGGTTCTATAGCTACATTTAAAAATATCGATGAACTCTTCGACATTAAGCTACCAATAAGGAAAACAATTCCCTCAGTAGGATGTTCAAGAGGACCAGAATCGGATTCGTAGAATTGTAAATTTACAATAAAAATCTACTCGTAATGTACTTTCAAATAACGCACAAATGATGTTAGCTGCAACTACAAACGAGATCATTTGTAAATCTTTCTATGATTGGGTATGAACTCGCATAAAATTCAATGAAAATCTATTATAATATTATATGCTATGATGGTTCACAGGACAGTATACTAACCTAGATACACGTACAGTATAATTCAGGAATGGAGATATTGAATACGACTGGCCAGGCTTATGGTAAAGTGGGCTAGGATGCAAATTGATGTAAGGTAGTAGCAACGTAGGAAACTTTAATGTAAGAAGATGGATATGCACTCGTACAAAGATAAACGTATATGGCTTTCTTTGAGTATATTCCTCGACCATTGCAACTATAAATAGCTTTCTTTGCCAACATACACATTCAAGAATGGGAAATTATCTATGAGTTTCCGTTCAGACATCAAATTAACCCAGCCTGGAATTCTTCCACCTTCAAAAGCATCATTTTCAAACAGTGAGAGCGATTTCATAATATCGATAGCTAAAAACGCTCTATTCCTTCCAAATCTTGCATCTATCTCAGGTTCATCAGCAGTAGCTAATGCATACTTTAGCCCTGTAAGTGCATTCAACAAATTGTTGTAAACAGAGGTCGGCCCTCTCCCGGTATCTAATTTAGTAACGGGTTTAAAGTTCCTCTCGATCTGATTTTGCTTGAATTTCTCTGGGTATTCTTTTTTCCTAAAATGGCATATTAAATTGAAAAAATCACCGTCCCCATAAATAGAAACATATTCGGCTAATAATAAGCAAATTTTATCAACATAGGTCCAATAATTTTTTTCATTTTTATTCTCAACAGAAAAGCCGGGTACGATAGCACTAGAAAATAAGTCCTTATATCTTTCGAAAGGTGATCGGAATATAATTTGCAATAGTTTTAATTCGAATTGTGTTAAAACCAACGGATAGTTCTGCGGCAAGAGCTTTTGATTCTCTGATAGTGTTAACTTTTCTTTATTAATAAAATTGCCTGGAAACCCAACACCTACCACTTTCCGTTGGTTATTTCTAATTCTTCTCAAGGTATATATACCATAGAGGAGGGGATCTGATGTTTTATTCAATGCATCCAAAGTAGAAATGTCACTTCCTACCAACATATATTCCTCTATTTGTAATAGCGCATACGAAGCCCGTCTTGTGAATTTCGGATCAAAACTGTGGTTTAAATAGTGCTGCAATGATCTGAACCGTTTTTTTGATAACACTAGTTTTTCTTCATTGATTAATGATAAAATATTCATCCTGCTTGTAATTTCGTCAATGTTATTCTTCTTATTATGATTAAATACAAAATTTTCCCGCATATAGTCCGATATTTTCATGCCCTGCTTATTTCCAAGCTTTATATTATACTTCTTTAATTTCAGCAATATCTCGGTCACTCTATAGGTGAATTCAGCGTGCTCTGGATTTGGGGTTGCATGAACGGGACCAGGAACTTTCAATATTCCTGACTTAACGATTCCCCATTCTTGCAACCAGGTGAATATCTTAACAAATTTTGTATGCAGAAGTCTAGAAAATTGAAAATCTCTATATACCGATGGACAGTCTATTTCAGTAATTAAGAATTCCAAGTCAGTTAATCCACATGTGTCGTCCCTAATCATTTGTTCAATAAAGGGTTTAAGCTCCTCTTTTATTGACTCTTCTTGCGATAAATAAATAGCGAATACAGCATCCTCGATTTGCATAGACATTCCGTAATATTTCATGTATTTTAGCATTTGTTCGGGAGTATATCTTGATTCGAATACTGTAGATATGTTCTCTTCCGCAATTTCGGGAACGCTATACATCATATGGCAATCTTTCATAATGATCATACCTTCTCGAAGTCTCAAATTTGGCTTTAGAACAGGAGCATTGTCGATCTGTTCCTGACTAATAAATTCTTTCACCATTTTCAATTAAATAATGATTTTCCAATTTTAATGCTTAGTTGGATTTGCAGTTTTTTTATAACGCGACATGAGTCACTACGAAATGAAGTCTACAAGATAATCATGCTCTGAATTGTAGCGGAAAAAGCAGAACCTAGTGTTTACGACTTAATCTTGTTTCGAGTCTAAAAGCTATCGCATGAAATGATTCTATAGTGAGTCATCTCTTTGTAAATGAGTTTCCATACGCTAGCTATCTTTTGAACAATCATTCTGTCGCGCAGTAATTTTTTTGATCTTTTAACCTTCACTATGCCCACTACCGCAGGCAAATAAACCACAATGTTTATTGCGTATTTTTACTCATTTAGATCTGTTGATGTCGATATCAAACTTATCCTCCTCTTGTTTGTCTGAGCTTAAATATAATTGGCCAAGTTTCAGCATCCTCTTTCTCCAAATTCTTGTTTTATTCCTCTTATTGACGTCTTCCAACAATAATTCACTGTCATCATCGTCTTCGCCATCATCTTCGTCTCCATCCTTGATTTTTTGTTTTCGTGATTTTGTCAACTGGATCTCATATGATTTGTCTTTATGATTTATGCCATACGTACTACCATAATTCAAGTCTTTAAGCACTACTTCTCGGGTTCTTCCTAAAGACTCGATATCGGCTACTCTCTCAATTGTATCTTCTAATAATTCGTCGAAATGTGGTTGTGATGCAATTTCATGGAAAGCCCTCATCATTGGCACGGAGTCAGCTCGTACAGTAGACTCTGAATCAATGGTGAATATATTTAAATTATCGTACTGTTGAATATAATCAGCACGCGTCATAATCTGTCTCGCTCTCCATAAGGGTAGATCGGGTAAATGATGGTCTTCATTATTATGATCACCATAAGAAGCATTGGCCAATCCACCCCTATCCATTTCCACAAATGCCCTCATTAAAAGCATTGCACTAGTAGAAAATTTTCCACTTTCCATTACATCGTCATCCATATCCATTCCTAATAAACCACATTGATTCAAAAACCACGTCTTTTCACGGTCGATTATTTGATGACAAGCAGTTATAATATCTTTATGTCTAGCAACTTGCGATATATGCTGCGGTCTTCCTCCAATCAAATCATAGATGTTTCCACAAATTTGGTCATCTAACTTTAGGTCAGGGAATTTCTTCGACGGGAAAAACTTTTCTCTGATAAACTTCAATGACTTCACAGTTTCTATTCTGTTAAAGTCTCTTACGTTGATTAGTTCTAGCCTTGTACCTAATTTTTTCAATTTTTCGTATACCCAATAATCATCAGAATTAAAAATTATTGTGACTAACCCTGATCCACTTAAACTTTCAGCCTTTTGTTGCAACAATTCGATCAATTTGATCCCTTCCTCCGTTTCTTTAATTAAGTGAGAGTTATTAATAATTAGCACTAATGGACGATTGTTTGTCTTAACAACTCTTCTAATTGCTAACTCTTCCAATTTGCTAAAAGCTCTTTCAATATCCAATAAAGCAGTGGTGTCTCTAGGTCCACGTATACTGAATAATGAACCAATATAATCTTCGGAAAAAGTAAAATTTAACGCTCTACCTAATCTGATCCTGAATATTTCAGGATCTGCGTGTGCATCGAATATGGCTACATTATATCCATCAACCTTCTTCATAGATTCCAACAACAAGGAAGTCTTGCCTGTACCTTTTTCTCCAATTAACAAAAAGTATCTTCCAATTATTTTTCCCGACACAATATCGTCAAGCAACTTTTGTTGTGGGCGTTCAACCCAATATTGGGACAAATCATCACCATCACATTCAATATTATCCGTACTTTTATTGGTTCTCTTATGCATTGATAATTGGAATGCAGGGTCACCCTTCTCAAAAGCTAAATCCATCTTATCAAGCACATGTATGCCATAAAATTTATGATACAATAGACCGGCAACCCCTAAAATGGCGATGGAACTGAATGTAATGCCTATAGTCTCGAGGCATTTAAATAAGAACCTTCCAAACTTGGCCAATCCTTCT